GCATCCTCAGCCCCTTTTATTTTATTTTGAGATAGGGTCTTGATAAATTGTCCAGTCTAGACTTATACTTGAAATGCTCCTAAGTGGGACTGTAGTTGTGTGGTACTATGCTCAGGTTTTTGTGAAATTTGTCACTATATTGATATCCAGAGGAGAGACAAGACACACTGAATTGACAAATGAATTGTTATAAAGCAGGACCGATACCAGCATCACATCAAGCCTTTGCATGGTTGCTGGTCATTTAGGCATGCATGGCATCTTAAGTACATATAACTGAGCATAGTACTTGGGTGGAATCAGATTAATGCATTTAAAGTATCCATTCTGGAGAGATCTTAGGGGGAAAGATCATTATTTTAACTACTGAAAGTGGAGGGAGAGAAAGGTCAGGTAAGACAAGAACATTTCTGAATTCTAGCTCTCTTGACAAAAACTTAGTATAATTGTTGTGAACTTTGTTTCCGTGTTTTTGTAGTATGTATTACTTCTCTTTATTCTGTTTCATAGTTTGAATTCCTTCCCATAACTCATTCAATGGCATTTATTTTTTTCACTTTTTTATTAGTACATGTTTGTCGTATGTAATGTCTACATTCCTTGTGGGGAATTGCTATATGTACCGAATATACCTTACTTCATTTTTCTCAACCCTTTTCCTCCCTCCCTCCCTTCTTCATCCATCTTAATTCCCTTTTTGTATGTGTTTGCAGGACATAAGGTTTACACTTCATGTGCGGAGTGGGTACTTGGACACAACCTGTCTTCATTCCTTTTTCCTTCCCTACCCCACTCCTTGATTCTCTAAGTGCTGTGTCATCTCTTGACTGTAGCAAGAGTGTTGTTTTCCTACTATTGCACTACATACTGCCTTTCTGATACTATGCAGAGTACAAAATCCCAAGAGCAAAGAACAGACTCTCAGTGCTGGCTTCTTCAGCTGGGTCTCCCCACTTGGGAGCCATGGATTCAACCACTGTGTGAGCTGAGGTTAGCCCTGCTCAGCTAAGCTTGAAATGACAGCCAAGTACAGGACTATCCGCGATGGGATGTCACTGAGTCTCATTATATTGCTCTTCTATTTCCAAAATGACAAACATTACTTCAGTTTTAATTTAAAGGTCAACATTTGAACTTTAGGGGCCCTGGTGAGCACACATTTTCATTGTAACATTTGTCAAAGTTAGCTCAAAGAGTGTAGTTTTTGTTCACTCCATTATCCTGACCTTTTGAATCCATAATATCAGTCAAATAAAGAAAAAAAATCCCAAGTCCGTATGTGTGGTTGTCTGGTTCAGAAAGGAGAGAACAATGAGAATGGAGTCTGCCCAAGCCTGGGTAATTTCCAGGCCTCTTGGGATGCTGTGTGCTACCTGAATCCATTTTTTAATCCATTTCATACATTTCATGTTTTCCACACTCCAGGCTCTAGAGATCAGAAAAAAGAATGCTACTTCCAGGCCCTGTGCATTCCTGAGTAAGCTCTGTTGTCTGATTTGGTCTGAGATGCGTGAGGACAGTCATTCCTTCAAAAATAGCTATTATGCCTTGACCACATAGCAGAAAACAGGTGCTTGGGCTGCATGACCAAAGTAAGCCACTAAAAACCTTAGACCTCCTGGAGTAGCCAGTCTGGGGCAAAAGGAGCAGAGAAGAGCCATAAACATCATAAAAACAAAATGTTATAAAGTTCTAGAGGATAAAGAGTATATTTAAAAACAGAAAGGTGGGCATGTAGCTCAATGGTAGTACACACAATGTCCTGGGTTCAATCCTCAGTCCCCGAAAGAATAAAATATTTAAAAATTAAAAGCCATGAATGAGGAGGGGTCGGGGACTCAGTAGCAGAATGAGGAGGGAGCAGTGGGAAGTGATGTGCACAGGTCACAGAGGTGAAAGGGCAGCCCATGTGCACAGGAGAGGGATCGGCCTGTCAGCGACCCTGAGGCGGGGCAATACCTGCCCTGTCTAAGGAAGACCAAGCACAGTCACGTGTGTGCAGCGGGCTGATTCCTAAGACATTTGTGTGAATGGCGGCTAACATCAAGCCCATCCTGTGAGCAAAGAGGGATTGCATGCAATTAGCTCACACTCAGTGAAAAGGGACCAGTAAGTTAGTGAACACCTGCATTTTAGCTTGATGGTAATCTATTGAGGTTGGTATAATACCCATTATTTTATAAACTGGAGTAGTAACAAGTAGATGGCATCTGTGTTGACAAGACCAAAGCTTCAGGGAAGTAAAGTAACAGCGCTGACATTGGTGCCTTCACATCCTGAGCTCTTGAAGAGACGTTATGGAACCTCACTAGCATTCATGGCTTGGGGGTTCAATTTCTAAACAAAGCAGATGAGAAAGAAAACTAGGGATTATTAAAACCCAGTTCCAGGGCTAGAAAATGATGTCACATTGGCCAGTCAAGCCAGAAATGACTGGGGTTCCTGCTGATTTGCTCTCACTTGTTTATTGTCCAGCACTTCCTGGAAGAGAAATTGTTGAAGGTGACCTAGGTACAGGCCATAGACACAGGTTTGCTGTTCAAACAACTCTCCAAAGCCATGTTCCTGTCCTCTTCAAGCCCCTTTGGGCCACATTCTGAGCAGTCACCCGATCACTCCTGCTTCCCACTCTGCCTGCATAATACTAGGGATATTCTGGGAACACAGTTTGTACCCAGTAACATGGCTCTGCCTGAGCCCTCTCCGCAGCCTTCTTTGCAGAGCAAGGCTGGAAACACCCTGCAGCCTTTTAGCATGAACCATGGAAAGCTTCTGCTAGGAAACTTCATTTCTAAGCAGTCTGAGATCTGCAATCCTTTCCCGAAGACACACATTGTCTGTTTTCTGAAAAAAAATCTTCCGTTGCCTGTACTTGACCCTTTCTCTTATTATGTGGGAAAATAATAAAAAAAAAGTTTTGAGATTACAGCTTGCTGCACGCACATGCACATATGCGTTTAGTCTATTTTGCAAAAATGTCTGTGTAAATACAATGCAGCAGTATTAAACTTGAACCCGCTGAATGTCGAGGCTTGAAGAGGAAAGCAGTGGTGTGTGCACTGTGGGAGAGGCTACAGAGAGTTAACCCGTCTCTTTAGAGCAGATGCCATAGAAGCAACACAGTGAACTTCCAGAGTTGGGGTTTTTACGGAAAGAAGCTGGAAAAATCTAACCTGGAAAGAACTCAGTTTCTTTGCGGCCAGTCTCAGCACAGCATTACAAACAAAAGAAAACAAATCCACCTCTGAGTAATTTTCAAGAAGAATGGATTCTTTACTCCCGCTTCCTGCTGTAAGATGGACCGGAAACATCCAGTGGGTTTCACAGTGGAGTACAGGGACGAATATGCTTTTTAAATGTACTCCTGGCCTGCATAAAAAGAAGAGAATCTTGATGGCAAAAGAAAAGGAGGGAAAAGGAGAAAGAAAGGGAAGTGAGAAAAGGGAGCTGAAAGTGGGATGTGGTACCACCCGCGGATGGGGAGCAAATGGGTCACCAGGGTTACCGGCAGCTGATGCCAGTGAGAGGCTGGAGGTGGAGCTGAGCCTTTCAGCTAAGTCAAGGCCCTCACTTCACGTGGGCTAAAGATGCAGTCCCACCTGGGAAGGAAATCCGTCATTTGCAACAACGTGGGTGGAGCCAGAGGTCATCGTGGTAGGAGAAGTAAACCCGGCACAGCCGGATGGGCTCTGCATGACCCACTCATGCGTCCGACCTAAAAAAGTCGATCATATTGAACCTGGGTGCAGAACAGTGGTTACCAGAGGCTGGGGAGAGTGTGTGTGTGTGTGTGTGGGGGGAGTGATTAATGGGCATTAAGTGATAGTTAGATAGGAGCAAGAAGCTCTTGTGTGTTATTGCATGATAGGGTGGTTACAGGTAACAGTAATGTGCTGTGTATTTCAGAAAGCTAGATGAAAGGATTTCAAATGTTTTCTCTATAAAGAAATGGTAGATGTTTGAAGAGTTAGGTGTATTTAATCTGACTTAAACATTACAAACATATACACATATCAAAATATCACATGTGCCAGGTATGGTGGCACACACCTGTAATCCCAGGACTTGAGAGGCTGAGGCAGGAGGACTGTCAGGAGTTTGAGGTCAGCCTGAGTTACATAGTGTGAGTTCCAGGCCAGCTTGAACTGCATAGTGAAACCCTGTCTCAAAACACAAGAATGAAATAACAAAACAAAACAAAAATATCACCTGCTATACCATTTTATATACCAGTTAAAAATAAAATTTAATTTCTAAAAATGCCATTGCTTCTGGCACACAAAACTATAGAAGAATTTATACATTAATGGCATTTTTGTGTGTGTGGAGGTGATGCGATACTATGATCTAAAATACAGAGTCCTAGAACTTTTCTCTTTTCAAATCCACTTATTACAATAAATTGTCATTATCACCTATCCAAATTATTTTGTCAAGAACATCAAATTCTCTTATCAAAATATGGGCTGTGTTTGAAAAGTAATTATAATTCAGTTTTCTTTTTTCCAGTCATCCATATTGGCACCAATTGTACACCAAATACTTTGCTTACTCCAATCATTAGATTTGCGTAATGCTATGAAATCTAGAAAGAAAAGGTCCATAAAGAAGGAAGAGCATAAGAGGCATTCTGAAGGGAGAAACGGCTCCATTTGAAGTCAAACAACTAGGTAGAATAGGGTCTAGGCCACAATGGCTGTCCGTAGCAATTCTTCCCCAATATCTGTTGTCATAAGTGTCAGTGCCTTCAGAAAGGGGAAGGAATGTCCCATGAAGGGATCTGAGTGGTGGTAGTGGGTTGCAGATGGAGATTTGGGGAAATGGAAACTATTCTGTTTGCTTCCTAGGTTGTTTCTGTGGACAAATTCTGAATTATAGGGAAAGAAAGGGCTACAGAGATAGAGGTGGAGTGGAGGTGGAGGTGGAGACATAGGGCAGGGAGGGAAAGGGGGAGAGAAAATTCACACTAAACTCTATGTGAACCCATTGTGCTTAATAAACACACACAAGAAAGGATTGCTGTCCAGAATATATTTTTGAAACTTTCTCAAATCATTAAGAAATTGACATCTGACCCAGAAGACAAAATGTCAAATTCATAAACATGACACACAGAAGAAAACCAAATGATCCATAAGACTTGGAAACATGCTCAACTTCACATTTTAGTCCAGAACGTAGAAAATAAATAAACAATAGGATACCATTTCACAGCAACAAGGATGTAGGAAATTAAAATCTCATACATGTTGGCATCAATACACGTGATTTTATGTGGGCATGTGAAGACGTACATAGTCACTGGCACATCATTTTTCATTCCTAGATGTGTATTTTAGAGGAATTCATGCAGATGGACATATACAAACATATATGCTGGTAGTTATTTTGCAGCCCTGCTTTTTATGGCGAGAATAGAAATAATTTCCCCATAGCAGAGAACTGAACAACAAAAAAATCATGCTTTGTTTAAATTATGGAATACTCAATAGCAGTTAAAATTAACAATTTAGAGCTTCATAATTTAATATGAATAAATCTTAACAAATAATTTCGAGTAAAGAAAACAAAGTAACAAATCATATATATATAGATATAAACATATGCAAATATTCTGAGCTCAGAAAACAGGGCATAACTGGGTGTATACACATGGAGTAAAAGTACAAAACACGCATGGAAACAAAACATGCCAACATCCAGATAGGGGTTCCCTTCGGGGTGGGCGTTGGAGGAGGAAGTGAAAGAACACGTTGAGAGGTGAGTGTTGCGTGAGTGTTTTCTTTCCTTTCACAAAAAGAGAGTAGAACTTCTAGTGGCGCGATCTGGGTGCCAAGGGAGGTTTTCAGTTTGCCCAAAATTACTCCTGAAAAACAAACAAAGCAATTAGGAGAGCAAATGAGAAATCCACTGAAAACGTATTTTTAAAAACCAAGAGGCAGGGAATTTCTAGAAACTGCAGGTTATGAACGGGAGCAGTAAATCACCTTCAGCAGTAGAACAAGTCAGGTTTGGGTGGCAGGAACAATGAGAAGTGAATGGGATGAACCATGCAACAACCCGCAAGCCCAAGGCACAGAAATCTTTCCAATCTTCCCTTTTTTTTTTGGTACCGGGAATGGAACTGAGGACCTTGTGCTTGTGAGGCAGGCGATAGCACCACTGAGCTAAATCCCCAGTCCTCCAATATTCACTTTTAAGAGAAGAGGAGCTTTCTGACCTCGGGTGGAATCATGGAGAGACATTTCTGAGAATGCCCTATGTACCTGGGAAAAGCCCTGAGAAGCTCTAGTTTGCAAAGAAGTTTACAAAATTGGAAATAAGCATGAACAGGTGAAGGTTCATGAGCTAATTAAAGTTTATGGTTAAACAATCATACAACTGAACCACTGATTAACTTGTGTTTACAGTTAAATTATAGACCATAGAAATGAACAAAAACATCCAAAATGTAGGCTGGTCTGTAGGAGAATGAATCCAATGTCTGCAAGTCAAATGTATGTGGGCAAATGGGAAGAGAGTTTTAAGTGTGGACCTGGCCTAAATCCTGATTCAAATAAGTGAAAACAGATTTTTAAGACAATTTTATCATTGATTAAGTATGAAACAATACCAAATAAATATTTATAATTTTATAATGAGTAACAATGACATTGTGACTTTATAAGAATGTGCTCATAATTTTTAGGGATTCACACTTAATCACGAAAGGATAAAATCATACTATCTGTCCAATATTTGCTGTTGACAAAGAAAAAAGAAATATATTATGAAATAAAAAGGAAAATATTTAAAAATAAGATAAGTGATGCAAAAGTCCAGTAAACAAAGGATGCTGATGACATAGAAACAAGTAGAGGCCATAATAGAATCAAAAGCCCAGAAATAACCACTCAATGCATGTGATCAGCAAGTATTTGACAAGGTGTACAGACCACATAATACTTCAACAAATGGTACTGGTAAAATTGGATATCTACGTGAAAAAGCAGTTTTTGACTCTTCATACCATATAAAAATAACTCAAAATGTACATTAAATATCCTACATGTAAGGCTTAAAAATAGAAAAGCCCTAGAAGAAAACAGAAGAAAGCTTTATGGCATTGGATTTGGCAATGATTTCTGGGCTGGGACACTAAAGGCAGAGTTAACAAAAGCAAAAATAGATAAATGGACTATATGAAACTTAAAACATGTTTCACATCAAAGCAACAGAGTGAAAAGGCAAACTCCAGAATGATAGAAAATATTTCTAAATTATGCATCTGATAAGGGGATCTAAAATACGTGAAGAAGTCCTACAACTCAACAACGAATAACCCATTTAAAAATGGACAAAAACTCAAGCAGACATTTACTCAAAAAAGATATACAACTGGCTAACGAGCAGAGGGAAATGTGCTTAATATCACTAACCATTAAAGACAATGCAATCAGAGCTGCAAGCTATGAGCTCTGAGATACTCATTAATAACAGGTGTTGGTGAGGACTATTAATGGGAGTGTAAAATAGTGCAGTTGCAGTAGAGCATTTCCCTGAAAATTTAAAAAAAAAATAATGATCATGTGATCTGTTAATCTCAATTCTAGGCATATATCTAAAAAAATTGAAAATAGAATCTGTAAGTTATACTTGCACACCATGTTCACTGCAGTATTATTCCCCAGAGACAAGCGGTACAAACAAACAAAATGTCCATTGACAGATAAAGGAAATGTGATAGACATATATCTCTATCTATCTATCTGTCTATCTATCTGTCTGTCTGTCTGTCTGTCTACCTACCTACCTACCTATAGAATATTATTCAGCCTAATAAGCAGAGTACATCCTTCCTACCACATGCTATGACATGGGAGAACCTTGAGGATATTCTTCTAAGTGAAATAAGCCTGTCAGAAAAAGCCAAATACTGTGTGATTCCACTTATCATATCATGAGCTATCTAAAGTGGTGCAACTCATAGAATTCAGAATCGTGGTCACCAGGGTTGGTGGGATGGGAAATGGGAAGTTATTATTCAGAGGATGTAGGATTCCAGTTTTGCAAGATGAAAACATTCTCTCGTGCAATGACGTGAACATTGTTAACAGTACTGAACTATACATTTAAAACCCATTAGGATGACAAATATTTTGCTAAACATGTTGTGTTGAGGTTGTGATTTTTTTTTCTGGTACCGGGGATGGAACTCAGAACCTAGCACTTGTGAGGCAGGCATGGCACCACTGAGAAAATCCCCAGCCCAGAGGTTGTGATTTTTTAACCACAGTTACAAATAAATAAATTTTAAAAGTGCAAAAATCTTGGTAATTGTTTTAACAGTAAGAAAATCAAGTATTAGTTTCTTTAAAGTTTTATCTATATCCAAATTTTCTTAACTTTTTAGAAAAAAATTGAAACATATGACACAGTTCTTTATTTGGCAATGAGAATAACTGGGTGTTTTGTGTAGGTTTGTAATATTTCACAATTGATAAAAAGCAAAGACGATAGCCAGTTGGTCACACTGAACCTTAAATTTACTCAGTTTGAATCTGTGGGTTCCCATTCCAAATTTTCTGGAGGAAGAATCCTACCTCAGTGCATTTGCAACTGGTTCAGGTCACATAATTCCGAGAGATTCATGGGGAAATGGGACCAACTCCAGGAAGAGTGGTATGGGCTGTGGAGAGCCATCCAAAACATTTGCTACAGATCAGAAAAGACAAGAAGGGCTTTCACTGTGGGCACGAAGAACAGACTCAGGTTGATAACATGACCTGCCTGTGTTTGGTAGTCACAGCTTGATGCCACCCTCTGGTTGTGCCACCAACAGGCACCAAGACTTCTACCATAGCCTTTTCTCCTTGCCCCAGGGGAAAGCTGCTCACAGACTTCCAGGGCCCTGCCACCGTGCCCCAGAAGCTGCAGAGCCTAAAGGCTTTCCCTTCACGATCTGCTGGTAGCACGACTCGCCTGCTGTGACAGTGTTATTTTTGAAGACATAAAAAATCAGTAATCAGTAACAACATCAACACCAAAACATAATTGCATGCTGCGTATCAAGTAGATCTAAAGTGATTATCAAAAAATCCAGTTATTGAGAAAATATGCTTTGTAATTTTACACCAACTCTTTGTTGTTTTTTATTGTTTTTTCACAGTTATACTTTTCAGAATATGACCTACTAAATATTTTTTAAAGCTTTGTTTTCTTTTCATTTTTATAGGTTTATAAGAAGTTATAAAGATGGGAAGCTCTTGCATATCTTTCACCTACTTTTCCCCACTAATTACATCTTGCACGAGTTATAGTACAATGACAAAACCAGGAAAATGTCTTTGGCACAATGTCATACATAATTCTCTGCCGCTTTATCCTACAGGTATGTAGATCCTTGTGACTACACTATGGCGAGATACAGATTTCTTCCCTTACCATAAAGATCTGCTGGCATCTATTTGCTAGTTTAAACCAAACATAGAAAACTTGCCTCCTTTTAAGTCCCTTTACTCACTTAATTTATAAAATAATTGTTTTAAACATATCCTCTGGAAATACTGAGATCCACATTACAGAATATTGTATCATTTGTTCTATTAAAATTTATAATATCCAAGGTAAAGAAAGCTTTTGGTAAGTACCCATTTTTGTCCTTTCTTCGCAATTTTCTACAAGTCCACCTTATTCATTAACTTACTCTTTCGGGGACTCCCATAAACCACTGTTTTAGAGTACATCTGCTTGTGACAAATTCTCCTATTTTCCATTCTTCTGAAAATGTCTATTGTTTTCATTGCTGGGTGTGGAATTGGAGTTTGGTAATGCTTTTGGCACTTGAAAAATGTGCCATTTCTTTCTTATATCCGTGATTTCTACTGGGAAATCCACTGTCACTGAAATTCTCTTTAACCTGACAGATGACTGGTCGGTCATTTCTCTTTTGCTGTTTTTGAGATGTTTCCTTCATCTTCAGTTTTCTTAAGTTCTAATTTAGGTTGGTTTCTTTGGGTTTATCTTGTTGTAGTACAGTTGGCTGCTGTCTTTTGCCAAGTTTGGGGGATTTCTTCAATGGTTTTCCACTCCAGCCTCTTTGCTTTCTCCTTTGACGCTGGTAGCCTGACAGGAAGTTCAGATCTTTGGCTCACAGGTCCCTGGTAGTCTTCCTTTTTTTTTAAATTGATTTTCTCTTTGGTTCAGATTTGATCATTTTTAATGAACTATTTTCAAATTCACTGATTCTTTTTTCTCTGTTCTCTGTTCTGCTCCAGAACACATCCAATGAGCTTCTTATTTTATTTTGTTTTTCAGTTTTAAAATAGAAAACAATTGTTCCTCTTTGTGTCTTTCATTACTTAGGTAATTTCTTTCCCATTTTCATTTGTTTCAAGTGTGTTCTGTAGAGCATTTTTATAATGGCCTCTTTAAAAATCCTGTCCATTAATTTCAACATCTATGTCATTTCTGTGTTGGCACGTGATGTCTTTTCTCATTAAAGCTGAGATTTTTCTCATGCGCTGTGATGTTTAATTCTATCCTGGACACTTTGGATGAAATTGTGTGAGACTCTGACTTTATTAAATCTTCTGTTTTGATGGGTTCCCTCTAGCACTGGACAGCCAGGGGTGGGGCAGAGGAGCTGTTTTCTTATCATTGCCAAGTGAGGGTAAACATCCAATTCCTCAGTGGGCCTTTGTTAACATACCAGTGAGACAGCAGTGCCCAGTTACTCTTTTTGTTCTTTCTTTCTTCTTTGAAACAGGGTCTTTCTGTGTAGTCCAGGCTGGTCCTGAACTCACTGTGTAGCCCAGCCTGGCCTCAAACTCACGGCAATCCTCCTGCCTCAGCCTCCTGAGTGCTGGGATTACAGGCCTGTGCCAC